TAAATGGCTTTATTCAGATATAATTTACATACTGTAAAATTCACTACTGTTAAATGTACAACTTAATAAATTTTGGTAAGTTTACTGAGTTGAGCAGCCATCATCATAATGCAGTTTTAGAACATTTTCATCCCCCCAGAGAGGTCCCTGCTGCCTCTTAATCCCTTTTCCAATCACCAGCCCCAGGCAGTCACCAATCTGCTTCCTGTCTCCACAGGTTTGCTTTTTCGGAGTGCTCCACAGGAATGGAGTCATACAACAGGTGCTCTTTTCCCGCTGGCGTCTTACATGCAGCATCATGTTTTTGAGGTTTATCCATGGCCCAGCATTAACCAATATCTTATTTCTCTTTACTGCTGAGTCATGTTCCATCATATCGGTAGACCACATTTTATTTGTCCATTTGTCGTTGATGGACATTTGGGTTGCTCCCATGTTTTGTTTGTTTTTGCTATTATGAAGAATGCTGCTGTGAATATTGGCATGCAAGTCATCTTTTTAAGCAAGAAAATGGCATTACTAACAAGGCAGCCAGTGAATAAAACGTGTAGAAGAAGAGTGATTATGTGAATTGTCTATCTTGGGGAGAAAAATTAGGACAATCTGGAGATGCCCAGGGAGAAGGCATCTGGTTCCTGGGTTCAATATTTATGCTTAGGAAATAGGGGGCTCTTGGAACCACCCTTGTGCAGAAATACGGAAGTGTGAGGAAATAATTCAGGATTTGCTTTGATGGACTTGCAGAATTCAAAGGCAATTCTTAAGGAATTTCCTCTTGTTGAGTCAATACAATATGTCGCAGCTGCAGACTTCAGTAATGTGCCTGAGGTTGGGAGTTCATTTATAACTCCTCCTTGTCCTCAAGAGGACGGTAAAGGAGCCCTTTTAAAGTTAAAATAAACTGAGGGGCCGGCCAGATGCATCTGAGTCCAAACCCAGCTTCTGCCAATATGTTCAGGGCCTTGGCCGGTCAGTGTTCTCATTGGTACCCTGGAAGGCAATGGCACCTACCTTACGGGGCTGTTGTGAGGACTCACTAAGATGGTGTATGCAGAGCACTTAGCATAGGGCCTAACACACAGTGAGGTTTTCTTTTCCTTTCTTTGTTTATTCCTCACTGGAGGATATGTTCATTAATTCTAGAGAAGACAGAGAGAGAGAGAGAGAGAGAGAGAGAGAGAGAGAGAGAGAGAATGTGAGAAAGAAACATCACTTGGCTGCCTCTCCTATGCACCCCATCCAGGGATTGAACCCACCACCTGGGTATGTGCCCTGACCAGGAAATGAACCCACAACCTTTCAGTGCATGGGACATCACTCCAACCAACTGAGCCACACTGGCCATGGTGCAAAGTGAGTTTTATGCTATTTTTTAGGATTGGATTGTGCTCTAGATACCCAGAAACAGTGACATTAACCTCTGCTTATTGCTGAGAACCTTTTACATCTTTTCATTGGGTGTTTCTGGCCCCAAGTCCTGTGGAAGAGGCACATAAGTTTCCTTTAGAGGTGATGCAATGTTTGTGGAAGTGGAACCTCATAAGGAAAAATATTATCGCGCAGACTGCCATAGGCTGGTAGGAAGATTTAGTGCAAATCTGAAGGGACTGATTCGGACCTAGGGGGATAAACACCAGCATGATGAGTTTGCAACTCATTTTGCATATAAAATCCTTGTCTAAGACTCTAGAGTTTTCCCTATGGAAGACAGTCAGAGGTCCTTGGGTTTAGTAAAAACGTGATGCCCTGTGAGGAGAATTATGAAGAATACAAATACTCAATAATAGGCAATATGTCAGATGCAGCAATTTCCAGTTTTAAGTAGTCCTTCCCGCTGTCTCTCTCCTTATCAGCTGTGCACCTATCTGTGGTTAAGAAAACAGGGCCCCGACCATATGAAGTCTCTTTGAGAACAGGGAATGAAATATATATTTTGCCGCCGGAAAAATATGTCAAACACTCAACAAAACCATCATCTTTAAAATGACACAGCAACATATTAAAAATATGTAAGCAGGGGACTTTTCCTCAAGAAAATTCAAGGCTTTTCTTTCATTTGGGGTGGACACATGAGGACTCCTTGAGCTTATCAGGCCTTTATATTCACCCAAGTGGTAAATTTAAGAGGCTGGCGTGACCCCAAGTCCCAGAGATCTTTCTTGAAAGGTGAACATGGTAGGTTAGCATGGTGTGCTCAGGTAGGCTAAGCAGCCATCTCAGATGGTGATTTAAGAAAACTTGAATTTATTTAGGGAATGGGGATGTGGGATGGGATAGCCAAAGGAAAGGGCTACACAGCTACAGTCCTAACGTTTCTGTTGGAGAAAGCCAGGATCTGAGGAGGAAAAGTCATTAGATATGCTTGTTTGTCACCAGAAGAATGCAGCTCAGTCAGGCAAAGAAGGAAATACAGATGTTTTTAGAGTGCTACCGGTATACTTAGGGGGAAACCACACAGAACTGATGTGGTGAGATGGAAGTACAATCCTATTAGATGTTTTGGTACGTTGACTTATGGGCTCCATTTTTGTAGCCTTGTAGCGACACCCTTTGCCACGTGACTTGGCAATTCTTCCTGCTAGAAGCATGGATGTTGGGTTTGAACATGGGCCTTACTGTGGCCAATGGAAAGTGGGCGGCGTGACAAGGTACCCGTTCCAGTTTAGTCTTTAAGGGGCATTTGCATTTTCAGTTGCCTTCTTATGCTTCTGCCATTGTCTTGAGAAGAAAATGTTGTTGCCCAAGGAGGAGGAGGATAGACAGGAAGCAGGTCTGGCCCATGCTTGGCCTAGGTCAGCTGGCCTCCAGCAGACGTATAAGCAAGAGTAAGTGACTGCCGTGTAAAGCCACTGCATTTTTAAAAAATATGTTTTTATTGATTTCAGAGAGGAAGGGAGAGGGAGAGAGAAACATCAATGATGAGAGAGAATCATTGATTGGCTGCCTTCTGCACACCCCACACTGAGGATTGAGCCTGCAACCCAGGCATGTGCCTGACCAGGAATTGAACTGTGACCTCCTGGTTCATATGTCGATGCTCAACCACTGAGTTATGCTAGCTGGGCAAGCCACCCTTAACCTTTTATTACCACCTCATTCCCCACTTTCCCTTTGGTAACCACCATACTGCTGTCTATGTCTTTGAGTTTTGTTTGTTCATTTGTTGCTCTCAGTTTTATATCCCACATTTGAGTGAAGTCATATGGTTCTTGACTTTTTCCTTCTGACTTATTTCTCTTAGCATGATATTATCAAGATTCACCCATGTTATTTCAAACTAGAGGCCCAGTGCATGAAATTCGTGCACAGGTAGGGTCCCTAGTGGCTTCTGGCTGCCGGCTGGGGCCTCCCTTCATTCTGCGCCACCCCCTGGTGGTCAGCTAACATCATAGTGAGCGATCAAACTCCCTGTTGGTTAAACTCCCAAGGGGACACTTTGCATATTAGGCTTTTATATATAGAGAGAGCAATATGTCCTCTTTTCTTATGGCTGAGTAGTATCCCCTCAAATGTCTCTTATTTCAGGCACTTTCCTATCTTGAGAATGGAAATTACTTTGTACTTTATTAAAATGTGAGCACCATGAAGGTGGGGTACTGGTCTGACGGGTTCAGTGATGCACCCCCACACTCACACTGGCCCTTACTCATTCTGTGCCATTGAACAGTATATTGGTCATTTAAAAAAAATCAGCTGCATCTTGCACCTCATGGAGAGAGGACGGGGAGCAGGGGTGGCTCGCTGTGACTCTGAGATCAGCCTTTGCAGTATGCAGGGAAGGGCCCATAGGCACACATTTCTGTCTCTAGCTCAGACGTATAGTACACAGGCTCTAACAACCCATGTGCAGAATGAGGAATCTCGATTGCAAATAGAGGATCGCTGCTGATTTCACACTTTTAATTCATTAATGTATATTTACTTTTTTTAAAAAACAGTTATGGGACCAGGCATAGAAAGCGTAGATTGTGACGCAGAGAATAGATATATGTATGATTTCGAATGCTTTACAGAAGAAAAATTCAGGAAAACTGAGAGTCCTACGTTCATATTCTCATTCTGAACACAAACTCGTATGCCTACCCAGCCTCCTTTACAAACACTTTATTATAAACATCATCATCCATGCTTGCCCTGAGCGTGCAGCTGGGAGAAGCCTTCTTTAGCTGGCAACCTCTCTTCCAGAACCAGCAAACGTGATTTTCATTCCTGAAAGAACTTCATCCCGTTCTTAGAATAAATCTATTGTGGAATGTTGGGCTTTGGGACAGGGAGACTTGAAAACCTTGTTTATGGAAGAGATTAAAACTCACCCACATCTGTTTTGTTGAGTACCCTGTCTAGACAGTCTTTGCTCTCTCTTACCATCTTTAAGAAAAGCTTACTGATCCTTCCTCTAGGGAGAGGATTTGAGGATCATTGGATCACAAAGGCACGTAAATGAAGGGCATGCTGTGTTTAAACTTTGCAAAATCACGAAGCCAAGCCTTAGTTTGCCAAACCCTGCCATCATGGTGAGGCTAGAAGCCCAAGTTCTGTCCAGAATATCTGAACGTTCTGATTGGATGCTTATCAACGAGTATCTGTTTTTGTGTCAGAGAGACATGATCCAACTGCACTACTCTGGCATGAAATTTGAGAACAGTTAAGGAGAATATCAGTACCTTTGGCCCAGATTATTTAATGTGAAGAATCCAAGTGGAATATACATTAGGAGGGAGTGATGTTATATTTCCTAGTGTCAAACTGAACTAGGATGAAATTCACTTCAGTGTACTTATCTAGAATAAAGCAAACAATTTCAGCTGCTTAGGAACTGGAAAGAGTAACTCAGCCTGCATTTCAGTTGGATTTCCATCCAGTCTCTGCCTTTAGAAGTTAAAATTATCAGTGTGACAAATTTTCATTTATCTTGCGTTTGATTACTTTTCATTTTTAAATTACAAATTAAAAATGGTATAAGAGAAAATTAAAATAACCTAAAAGAAATTTAAGCCATAAAAATTTTGGTCCCTTTAATGAATCCTTCACTCTCAAGTCAAAGCCAGAAATATCTCACATGTGAACTAAATGCCATTAGGAATCATATTGTGGTACCAGCCCTTCCCCCTCAATAATGCAAATCCATTGATTCTTCACCTGCAATTGTTTGGATAGAGGCTGACAAATGCCTTTTCCAGTGAATTGCCAGATTCAGAATTTCTCAAGGCCTATGCCTGGTAAGACCTATTTTAAACCTCTAAACTGCCAGTAAGGATTGGTCTCAGAGGATCTTCCAAGGAAGTAAAAATGTATTCCAAAGCATACTTAACATCCTTTAGCATTTGCTCACTTTATCCAAGAGGGAAGAGAAGTCTCAGAGGGTCCTCTGCATCCTTGCTACACAGGGGATAGGCACGTGAATATGCTCAAATGCCAATCTTATTCAGCCACTCACCTCGAGGTGGTATGCTGAAAAGAATGATTACCTCGTTAAAAAATGACATTTTGTCAGTCACTTAAAAGCTAACCTGAAGATTTACTGTAGAGGCCTAATTCTGTTTTTTCCAAAAGACCTTTTCTCGTCCTCTAAAACTATTTACATACTAAGGAGGTGGTCTGATTGTGGACGGAGGTTGAAGGAACAAGGAGTGAGGAGATGCAGAAAGAAGCCCAGTCCTTCATGATGTACAAAACCTGTTCAACCTGTAGTCTTCCATCTACAAAGATTTCTGGGCCTGCTGTTTCATCTGTTCATTGATAATGAATTACAATTTCTCAAGTTAGTACATAAGAAATTAACTGCTAATTTTTGGCAATCTATAGGCAAATTTTCTTCTAAAGGTGGTAATAAAACCAATGTTTTGTTTTACAATAAGCCACTGAGTTACCTAAGGACCAGCTCTGTAGTCCTTTCAATGATGCATTACAGCGGAGAATTCAGCACATCCCACTGCAAGGTGAGTCACCAAGTGGACACTTGATACAGAGCAATGCCTGTACCAGACCTGCTATGCCCTCCAACCACTGAGCTCGGCCAATCTGAATAGCTTTAATAACTTTTTGTTACCCTTCATTTCTTATAATCATAGAATTTTCCTTCTTGGAAACAAAAATTATTCCAGAGATTATCAGAGTGACAGGTACAACATTATAGGTGTTCCAAAAGATTACAGTCAGTTGGAAACGTTGAACTGATTCATAATAGTTTTTCAAGGCTTTGGATCATTTGCATTTTTAAGTTTGTATCAGACATTGCAATTGTTAAAGATAGAATAGGTAGTAATGGTGTCAGAGGATGAAGGGTAATTAGGCCACACAGTTCATCTCATGTCCACATCCTATGCAATTTTTGCAGAATGCTGAACTATGTAAACTGCTATTATAAAACAGGCAATTATTGCACCAAATTTTCCATAAAATCCATCCAAGTAAATCTTGTAGCCTCTCATCTTTGCAGATGAGCGTCTTGCCTTTGAGAAGATGCAGTAGGAAAGAAAAAAAAAACTTGCCACGGAAACCAGCAGGAAGATTTCTTGTCTGAGTTAATGTAAGTTTTTCATTTCATTAGCACTCTCCTCCACCTCATTTATTCACCCAACAAGCATTTATTGAGCACCTTGTATGTACCAGGCACTGTTCTAGGCTCTGGGGTACATTGAACAAAACACAGGAAAGTCCCTGCCCCAGGGGGCTTACATTCTAGTAGGGGGAGACAGACAAAACACCTAAATACATAATATCACAGGGTTTCAAAATTTCTTTGAAAGATCCTTTCTGAAATCTGTGTACTGACATCTATGATAAAGTGAGAGGAGAGGCCAATAATGAACTCTAGACATTACATGAGTTCCAGGTTCACGATCTCTAAGGTCAACCACTCTGTAAAATGAGGGGAGGTAGAATTAAGTAATTTTTTAAAGGGAAAGGATCTTTTTAGGCTCTTTTTTTCATGGTTTTAAAGGAGACTCTTGCACAAAGTCAAGAGCCAGTTTGATGACTGTTTTATGATTTTTAAAAATGTTTAAAAATGAAATATAAGAAATCCTTAGGTATTCCACATACACTCAACACTTGAAATGCCAATCTAAACTTCATAAATAACAAATGTCTTATTTACAACTGCTAAAGAATGAAGTTCTGTTACCATGATTAGCTATCTAATAAAAAAGTTATTTATTCATAAAGCCTACTCATTTCCATTGTTGATTACACAATCCCAGTCCCACTTCATTTGTAAAAAGTTTTCTAGCTGTGAAATCCTCTCCTAAGATCACTGACCTTGTGCCCCTAATTAACCTTTCCCACTGGACTATGAGCTCAACAAAAACAGGGGTTGGGTCCTTGCTTCTTTGAAGAACCCAAATGAGATTCTGTCCAGGTAATCCACAGACATGAAAGCATTGCACCTACCCCATGTTTTATGGACACAGGCCTTTTGGGAGCCAACATTAGCTCTTTGGCTATAAAAATAGTTCTGCTTAGTAAAATTAGAGCTACGGTGTACCAAAAGGCACTCTAATGTCCAAAAAGGAAAAAAAAAAGGTTTCGAGAACAATTCACAGACTAGAACAGTATGAATTAATGAATATCCTAACCTCTTTGGAAGCCCTGGTGGAATGTTAATGTATATTTAATAATGCAAGTGAAATAGCACATCTTTTGCAATCAATTTTTCTTTAAGAAGATAACACTGCTGGAGAGCTGAGTGTCAAATAAGGCTGGGCTCCTACTTATTAACTTGGTATGAGTTATAAAACCTCTGATTCTCTTGAAAGACAAATTGCATTCACTGGTTTGATTTTGAAATAGAAAAGCCTCAAATTTCAATCAATCCAGCAGCTAAGGATGACAGGAAATTTTGCAGGACTCTAAGGAATCTTATTTTCTTATCTGGATCAGATCCCCACTGACACCTGGAAATTTCTGAAGGCTGCATGCTCTGACTTTGAGTTTTATCGGTTGCTGTGTAATCAAATATCCTACACATGTTTTCAAACTTCATCAGGCAGGCCTCATCAGAAGGACACATCTTGTCAGTGCCTTTAGAGGCAAAGTGAAATCTCTGTCTCAATAACTGAATTTAATTCCTTCCTGTTGCTCTGTGGTGTCAGGATATGTATTATCGAGTGTCAATGTTATCAGAACTGCCTAACATGGGCTGCTGTGTAGAGTCTTTACTATCCTGTCAGTCGCTGAAAAGGAATAATGACCGCATCCTTGCTTGGGGAATACTACCACTTCATGACCAGATGGGCAAGGGCATTGCACGTAACCTTGAAGAACCTTGAAGCAGCAGCATGATACCTTCTAACAATAAACAAGATCTCAACCAGTGCTGTATGGACTATGAGGGCAGGTCCAGCAGACATTAGCTGCATAGATGAAAGTCAGAGAAGAATAAGGAAGTTCAGATGACTTTTGGCAACCTAGATCACAGTTACAGGTAAATTGTGGTTGGTAAGGGAAATGCACTTTGGTGTACATCATGGAATTTGCGTATGTGTTCAAGTTGTTGAGTATATGCTACCAATAAGAATGCAGTCCCTTTCTCACAAGGATAGGCAGGAGGAATGTAAAGTCTTGATGACGTTCAGTGTCATTACATCAGCCCTTCCCAACCAACCCAAAGCATCCATGGGTTGGACACAAGAGTGCATCAGGCTGTTCTTGGCTGTTAGGCTTCAGAAAGCCACTGTGCGCAGTGCGCTCTTTGGGGTGGAAGTCTCTGAGCTGATAACTCTTAAGTCCAAACCTCCATGGGCACCATGGCTTCTTTGGTTCCAACAGAAGGCAGTAGGTATTCTCCAGACAAGAAATTAAAGGGGAATTGCACCAAGAACCCACGGATCTTTTTCAGTTCCTCCTCAGCTCTAATGGGATCTTCCTTTGCCAATATGGGCTTGGTTATAAAGTCTCTCAGCTGAATTAAAGTGTGCACTTCATCATTGGGAAGGCACCGGAACACCTGGTTAAAACACAAAGAGGAAACTGAGTGATAAGTTTAAAAGAAAGCATATCCCATTTTTGGAAAATACTAATTCAAGAGACAAATCTTGGCTTTATAAAACACTGTTAGTTTTAGGTTACAGCATAGAGCTGACTGAAAAGTTGCTTTTCTTATTTACTACAAAGAAACAGACAAATTTCCTTGCTTTCAAAAATAAAATCATAAGTAGACTCATATCTGATCTACACAAATTATTAACCCCAGGATAATGTCAAGCTTATAGTAAGAAATTTCATTGATGTTATGTTTTAGATAATAATCAACGCTTAGCCGAAACCGGTTTGGCTCAGTGGATAGAGTGTCGGCCTGCGGACTGAAAGGTCCCAGGTTTGATTCCGGTCAAGGGCATGTACCTTAGTTGCGGGCACATCCCCAGTGGGAGATGTGCAGGAGGCAGCTGATCGATGTTTCTCTCTCATCGCTGTTTCTAACTCTCTATTTCTCTCCTTTCCTCTCTGTAAAAAATCAATAAAACATATATATATATATATATATATATATATATATATATATATATATAATCAACCCTTAGTTTCAGTGGAGGATCCAGATTAAGAGAAAAATTGTATAACTTATTTTCTCTGACTTTTTATTTTGAAAAATGTTCCTATCTGTACCTTTACTTAGAATTATCCACTGTATACTTATTTTTCTCATTGGAAATATGTTTCAGATATCATAACACTTCAGCATGCATTTCTTAAGAATAAGGACATGTGTCCATATAATCACAATACCATTCTCACATCTCAGAAAATCAATTGCATATTATTTAAAATGTGGTCCATATTCGGATTTATCCTATTATCCTCCAAATGTCTTTTATAGCTGTTATCATCCCAATCCAGGATCCAAATGAGGCTGTCCACTGTATTTTAAAAATTACATTTTAAAAGACTGCATGCACATGACCTATTTGATCATGGCCTTCAATCTCAGTATGAAATAAGGCTGTGTAGAGAGTGGTCATGTTTCATAGGAATGATGAAATCTCCATGCTGGAGGGAGGGGGCTCTGCAAGTCATGAAGAAGAACACACTCTTACCCAACCTGATAGATGGTCAATGGATCTCAGCTTGAATATTTGCTATGATGCAAAGCTGGCTACTTCGTGAGGTAACCTGTTCCACGGTTAGACAACCCTTAACTCTTGTACATAATCAATGGATTGAACTTACCAGGAAATGCATTTTGTCTCCCTAACAAATGGGGCTGGTTTTAAAACACCTTTCCAAAATTAGAGCTGTCCAACAAAGAAAGTGTCTTATTATTAGTAAGCTTCATTATAAGGATGGATACCATGTACTATGTGATAGATACATTTAATAGGCTAATTTTATCCTCATAACTACCCTAGTGAATATTCTTCCTAATTTATAGAAGAATGGAAGGCTCAGAATGTCAAGTCACTATTCACAAAGTTATATTACCAGCAACTGGGTGAGCTGGGGTGAACCCAGTTCTGACTCATTTTTTGATCCCATCTGCCTCTTTTTTCTTTGTCACCTAAGAATGCTCATGATGGATTCCTGAAGCAGATGAGAGATCAGAATGCCACTAAAGTCTCTTCTAAACCATAATCCATGGTGCTTTTTGACTCTTTGTTTTCTAATATCTACAGAGAGGTATTTTATTACAACTTGGAGGTAAATTGTTTTTTACGCTCATTAAGAATGCTCCATACCAATAATATGCAGAAATAATGATGTGCTTTTGTGATGAAATTCAATGAAGAAAAAAAGGCAGGGGGCGGGGGAGAGTATGTAAGACTTACCTTGTCATAAATTGTAGCATTTCGAGCTGCCGTTGAAACCCATACCTCCTTGAAGAATTTGTCACTCACTGGATCCTGAATGTCCTCAATTGAGTCAGAAAGATATCCAAGGACAACCCTGAAATACAAGTGTCCTCCAAATTGAGTAACCAAGATAGAGCAGTCTGCTGCAGGCATTGTTTCTAGTGGTAACTTCATTAAAACTTTGTATGTGTATATGTGTCTCTGTGTGTTTATATATAAAAAACCCAAGTTTCAAAACAAAACAGAAACCCCTAGGTTACTATGATGCTTGAAAGTTTTAACTGTTAAATAGAGAGAGAGGCCTTAATTTTGATCTAAGAGAGTCCTTGTAATTTGGTGTAAATGGGTGAGAACTATGGAGAATAGGATTAGCATTCACAACAAGTGCCAGCAAATAAAACACGTAACCTTGAAGAAACTTGAAGCAGCAGCATCATATCTTCTATCAATAAACAAGATGTGTTAAGTCCTTTCCAAGAGCTATCTCAGTAAATCCTCAACAACATTATGAAAAAGCAACTATTATCTTCATTTTATAGATAAGGGAACTAAAGCACAGAGGTTAAGTAACTTCTTTAAGGCCACACTGGTAAGCTGTACGCCTGGGCCTCTGACCAGGACCATCCCAAACCTGTGCTCTTAACCATGACTTGATCTCTCTGTTTCCCCCTCTCTGTCCCTCTCTCTTTTCCTTCCTTCCTTCCTCCCTTCCCTTCTTTCCCTTCCTTCTTTCCTTCATTTGGTCCAATAACTATGCTGAACTCTAGGGTACAGAAGGAAATACAAATGACATGGAGCCTCTCTGGGTAGATTTAAATTTAGAGGGTGAGATCAACAATAAATAAATAATCACCCTCAAAGGAATTAACTAAAATTTTGATAAATACAGATATACTTTAAGAGTATGAGATGGGAGTAATTAGGGAGGCTCTGAATTTTGCCTACCTGTTTACCTAACCCTATCTATCATCTTTTAAAATTCAGTACAAAGTCACTTCCATAAAACTTTTTATGTGCCACCCCCCCTTCCAATCTCCTATTCTTCCCATCAAGCCTGGGAGGTTTGAACATTCTTTCTCTGTTCCCCACTATAATTCATATATGCTTTGTTTTTATCAAAGCACCTGCAATACACGCTATGCAACTTTTTATGTCTACCAGGCCCATTTCCCACTTCTAGCATATACATTCTCTGAGAGAACATGACTTGGCTACTCTCATATCCCCAGAGTGCCCGGCATAAAAGAAACCACACACTAGATGTTGTCTGAATGATCATATGTAAACAGGGGACTCGGAATTAGAAGCTCTCAAGCAAAGCAAGACAAGTTTTAGAGGTCATATTTGAAAATGATAAAAACCCTGTACTTAGAGAGGCCTTAGGGTTGAAAAGGACTTCCATCTTAATCCTGTGAGGTAGATGGTACAGGGTTCCTATTTTGCTGATGGGGACCTAAAGTTTAGACACATACTAGTAATAGAGCTAAAATTCAAACTGAGTTCAAAGTCCTATGCTCACATACCTGGTAGGTTCCAAGAATATCAGACTTGTGCTTTGTTGAAAATAGAAATGGGGAAATAGGCCTTAGAAGGACTTTGGCGTTCACATTGAGTGAAACTGGAGCATATAGCAAACACTGGGGCAGAGGAGATATAGGATCCGACTTGATATTGAAATATGGCTGCTGTATTGAGAACAGACTGCAGGGCAGGGTTGGAATGGGGAGGTCAGTCAGGAGTTACTGCAATAACCTAGATGAGTGATGGTGGTGGCTTGGGTGGTGGAGAGAAAGGTAGAGCCAATGGGTCTTACTGATAATGTAGTATAGGGTGTGAGAAAAAGTGAGGCACCAAGAATGACTAGCAGGGTTTTGGCTTGAGTAACTAGGATAACACAGTTGCCATTAGCTGAGATTGAGAATTCTGTGGATAGAGCCAGTTTGTGGGGGAAGATTAGGAATTCCATTTTTAATCTATTGAAATATCTATTAAATACTCAAGTGGCAATGTTAGGCAGGCAGTTGAAAAAATGAATCTGGAGTTTGACAGGGAAGGCGTTTGGGTTGGAGATTTACATTTTAGAATTGTCCATATATACTAGAGGCCGGTGCACAAAATTCCTGCACTCGGGGGAGGGAGTCCCTCAGCCTGGCCTGCGCCCTTTCGCAGTCTGGGAGCCCTCGTGGGATGTCCAATTGCTGGCTTAGGCCTGCTCCAGGAGTGGGCCTAAGCCGGCAGTCAGACATCCTTATCACTGCCATGGAGGCAGGAGAGGCTCCTGCCACCGCCGCTGCGCTCGACAGCCATGAGCCTGGCTCAGGGCTTCTGGATGAGCGGCGCTCCCCCTTTGGGAGCTCACTGACCATGAGGGGGAAGCTCCTGTGTTGAGCATCTGCCCCCTGGTGGTCAGTGCATGTCATAGCAACTGGTTGTTCTGCTGTTGCACATTAGCCTTTTATTATATAGGATGCATAAAGCCATGTGACTTTAACTGGGTTTACCCAAAGGAATGAGTATAGACAGAGAAGGGAACCTGGGGCACCTCAGCAGTCGGGGAGAGGAGGAGTGGCCATGGAGACTGGAGAAAAGCCAGAGGACCTCGTGTCCCGGAACCATATGACGTATGGCGTCAAGCAGAACTGTGTCAATTTCAAATGAGAAGAGACCATTGATTGGATTTAACAGTGTGGAGGTCGTTATGTTGTTCTGTCCCAATTATCTCCAACATTGTCAACTCCTGAAAAGGCTCAGTCAGTCTTACAGGGATAAAAAAGCATCTCGTTTTAGTTTTAGTCTGCATTTTTTTTGCTATATTAAAATTATTTAAAGTAAGTGGATCTGACACCATGGGCTCACTGGTAATCTTGGAGTTTTGTAACCTCAAATTCTATTTCCACTTCAAATAACGTCTCCTTCAGCCAATATAGGAACCACTTTTACACAGGTCTTCAGGGATGATGTTTGCACACGGATGCTGCTGCTCATTAAGACCCAAAGCTAAATTTGACTGCACCTAATTTGAGGGACCGTACAAGTTATAACAATAAGTCAGTTATAATAATTCCTTTGATTTGGGTCAGGTCTAACCAGCTGAAAACTGAGCAAAAAGAATATTTCTGTGACTTTGCTTTTAAATTAGAACAAGAAGTAGGCAACATGTCTGCCATGTTATCGGTGAAGAGCTTGTATGTAGAAAAAGTATTTAAATAAGTTTATAACAGACAACATCTAGTAATAAATTATTTCCCTGTCAGTTTTTTTAATAATAAGAAACTTATATTGAAATGCACAGTGAAAATAATATGAAGTACTCTGGGTATTGTTCTGAGGACTAAGGTTCCAGAGAAAATGAGTTCGCTTTTATGTTGATGTGTATAATGGCAATTATTTATTTAAAGTTGAATTGTTTACACATCAGTGGGACAATAGAAAAGCTGCAGCAAATTATTTCTGTTCTTCCCATTCCTCACGTCTGTCGCTTTAAATGATTCTGACTCTACTTGTGAAGATAATGGTTTCTGCTGAGTGACTGTTACATCTGTGAAGTTTGGATAATTTTCTAGGACTTAATGAACTGTTGGACATATAGTTGCAGCGCCCTGATGATTGATTCTACTTAGAACTGACTTCACATTAAAATATGTCTCTCTATTTTTTCCAGATGGAAAATGGATTGAAGTTGCATTTTTTAAAGAGGAAAAAAATGGCCACAATATTTATCTTTGAGAATATTTCCTAATAAAAGGAGCTAAAATGGACACAAGGAGTTTGTGTGCCATGGTGGCAAAATGAAAATGATTGATCAAGAACAACTGCCTCTTTAAGACAGTTTGAAAATAGCCAGGAAAAATAATAGCACCTAGGAATAAATTTAACATGAAATGTATAAGAGCAGCATACAAAAAACTCTAATGCTTACTTAAGAACACGCCCTGTCCCCAATAATAAAAACCCTTAAGCTTTATTGAAGAGCAAAAAAAAAATTGTTGAATAAATTGAAGTCTATATCTTATTCTTAAATAGGATGACTTGATATTATAAAGATGCCAATTCTTTTTATATCTATAGTAATAAAAGGGTAATATGCTAATTAGACCTGATGTCATTCCAGACATCATTCTGGACGAAGCTGGGGCTGAAGCAAAGCCCGGGTCCTGGGTTCCAGAGGGAAGCTGGTGCCGGCAGCTGGGGCAAGGAAGGCCTACTCTTGCACACATTTTGTGCAATTGGGCTCCTAGTTAATCTATAAATCCACTGTAATCCCAATAAAAATTAGTAAGAATTAATAGAGAGCTTGAATAAATAACTCAAAAGTTCCTTTGTAAGGATGAATATTTAAGAGTAGCCAAGGTTATTCTGGAAAAGAATATTAATTTGGGGAAGTGGTATGGCAAGAAGTAGTATTACAATGCGCAGCCACAATAATTAAAATGCTATCAAATTGCAAGTAAACTAACTTTCAATAGAACATCACAGAGAGCCTAGTGATGCCAGGATACGTGGCCACTCAGTGTATCAGCAGGTTAGAGAGGCCAAAAGCACCTGCAGCACATCATGCAGTTCTGGGTCGGCTGGTTGGTTAGGGGGAAATGTAGAGTTCCTACCTCATTTCTTATACCAAAGTAAATTTCAGCTATTAAATGTGAAAAGTAATATCAAATAAGAACTAGAAAAATATAAGTAAATATTTAATCTTGGGCTGGTAAAACTATTCTAAATCTATAAGAAAAGGCAGGGGGAGGGGGTTGGGGAGAACCTTGATAGCTTTGATTAATAAGAATTGATATTTCCCCTAAATCCTTTAAATAAGAGGCAATTGAAAATCAGATGTGCAACATCTAGATGGCATAGGAAGTTATAATTACTTACAAATCATTAAAATTAAATTAAAACATTTTAACTTGGCAAAGATCACAACTAGCTCAGACAATCTACAAAAGAACAATTACATGTGAATACATTTTTGAAAACCCTAAAACTTCAAATTAAAATAATAAAATTCCATTTGAAATCCACCAAATTGGCAAAGACTAAATAAACTAACAGAACGCAGAGAAGACAGGGGAAATAAGCCCTCTAAATATTGCTAGTGACACAATAGGAAGTTGGAAGCAAAGAACACTGCACACTTCCTTAGACCAGAAATCCCATAGTTAGGATTTAGTTAAGGAAACAATTAAGAAAGTAAACTAGATGTTATCTAGAAACATACCATTTTTTTAATATCAGCAGAAAATCTGCCTAACAATGAGGTACTACTTAAAGGAATTATGGCATACTCAATATAATGCAGCCATTAGATGTTATAGAAAACTTAACGACATGAAAGTATGTGTAACATTACTTAAATAAGAAATAATCTTGTGGAACTGCAAGATCTTAATCATGTTTTCTTTAAAAAAGGACAAAGTATAGCAATATATATGTATAGAAAAAAAGTGAAATGATATACATCAGATATTAAAATTGTTAGCACTGGGTGGTGGAATTACAAATAAATTTGATTTTTTTCCATTGCTTTTCTGTGTTTGCCAAATTTTGTACAATGACAATATGTTGTAATCAGCACCACCTACTACTATAATTATTATACATTTAGAACGTTATAAAGAAGCCCACCGCTTTAAAGAAAAGACTTCAGGTCATGCAACTGAAAAGATATGACATTTCTAGTTGACACAAAAAATATTTTTTCCCTGTCTATGCTACAGTAGGCAATGAATGGGTTGCTTAGCAGGATACTAATTTTATTTTTTTAAAATATATTTTATTGATTTTTTACAGAGAGTAAGGGAGAGGGATAGAGAGTTAGAAACATCGATGAGAGAGAAACATCGATCAGCTGCCTCCTGCATACCCCCCACTGGGGATGTGCCCGCAACCAAGGTACATGCCCTTGACTGGAATCAAATCCGGGACCCTTTTGTCCACAGGCCGACACTCTATCCACTGAGCCAAACTGGTCAGGGCAGGATACTAATTTTAAACTCTTCCCCTGCTAAACAGAACACGATAGGAGCTAACTGAAATATCAATGGTTTGAAAAAAATCTTACTGGCAAAACAATTAGTAACAAAGGCAATAAAAATTGTGAGACGGTATTGACAGTCCAGTTTTGAGGGATGGGTTTGCTGAGCTCCTGGGGCAGTGAGAACAGAGTGAACCATCTCTGAAACAGAAGCTTTTACTAGTTTTCAAAAGCAGAGTTAGGAAGGAGGGAAATGGCCACCCGCATTTGCAGGAAGGGAGGGGCTCATTTTGTGCTCATCGGTTTCAAATACGACCACTAACACCAGAAGGGTTGAGACGGTGCTGTTGCATGTGTCTGTCCCGCGCCTTTCCCCAAATAGCTGAAAGCACTGCCCTTATACAGGGACACCTCTCACTGTGAAATCCAATCCTGGCAGATATAGTTCTAGAATCACGGTTGTGAACTTACTGCAAAAGCCTAGAGGTGAGAGAGTGGTCGGGGTGTCCACAGACAGTGGGAGCTCAGCGTGTCTCAGTGAGCAAGGGACGAGTGAGAGGAGATAAGGAGCCATCTCGGAGTTAGGTTCCAGAAGGATCACTGACCCCTGAGCCTAGACGACTGGGCCTGGGATGGGGCCAGTTTGAGGCCAACTCTAGAAAGTTCTCAGTAACAATTAAATGAAGGACTCTGCCCAGTCAGTGTAGCTCAGTGATTGAGCATTGACCTTTGAACCAGAAGATCAGGGTTTGATTCCCAGTCAGGGCACATGCCCGGGGTTGCTGGCTCGATCCCCAGTGTGGGGTGTGCAGGAGGCAGCTAATCAATGATTCTCTCTTACCATTCTCTCCCTCTCCTTTCCTGTCTGAAATCAATAAAAATATATATTAAAAATAATAATAAATGAAGGACTCATTTCGGGCCACGTAGCCCTTGCTTCCTAACCCTGCGTTCCCTCTGATTGATTACAGATTTGTTTAAAACTCACACCTTCTTGCAGAAGGTCAGCAATCTCCCATGTCTGGAGCCATCTTCAATGAGAACCAAAGTTTCCACATGTAAAATAATACCAGTAGTCTCTGGCATTCACTGAAATAATTTTTATTATATCCTTATATTACCGGAACCATTTCCATTTCTAGAAATAAACTCACTATAAAAAACTTAAGTTGATACTGGATAGCCTGACCTGGCCTAGTCCTAAATCCATTAATAGATTTAAAATGCTAGTTTCTCCATGACACATACACATAATACAAACCATTAAAATAGACAATGTCTGAGCCACACATACTGTCATTTCACGGAGTCCTGGAGGTTCACGTCCTGTATCTGGGAGACCCAATTAGAGGAAGAAGAACCTGGAGAGGCGGCTGAGGCTGGGCCGGGCTCCCGTTCTACTGCAGTACAAGTAGTCAAGACAGACCCAGGCTTGGAGGCTCACCTAAAGCACTGTAGCCGAAGTCCGCGGGCAAACCGGCCTGCCTGGTACTCTTCTCCATCCATCACCGAAGGGACCGTCTCGGTGTCCTGCACAATGACTGCCACTTCACTGTCTCGCTTTCCCAGCATGCTTCGGTCATTGATGTTGGCAGAGCCTGTAGGAGAAACAGTGACGCTGAACAATCTTCTCTTCGAGGCAGACTCTGTCAGCTGTCCTCCCACTCGATTCTACCTTGCTAACAAAACCCTAATTGTGTTCAGGTCAGCAAGAGCTGCTGTGCTTTAGGGATGCGGGCCCCTCCCTAACCCAGGGGTGCATCTGGATCAGTCTAAGCCAGCAGTTATAATTTCATTCTTTTGGCCAGTGTTGGACTTAGATTGGGCCCTTGACATGATTCTAGGCCAGCGGTTCTCAACCTGTGGGTCGCGACCCCTTTGGGGGTTGAACGACCCTTTCACAGGGGTCGCCTAAGACAGTCAGAAAACACACACATATATATAATTACATATTATTTTTGTGATTAATCACTATGCTTTAATTATGTTCAATTTGTAACAATGAAATTGGGGGTCACCACAACATGAGGAACTGTATTAAAGGGTTGCAGCATTAGGAAGGTTGAGAACCACTGGTCTAGGCAGTGTGACATGAGGAAAAGTCTGCTAGGGGCTTCTGTGAAAGTTTTTTTGTTTTTTTCCTTTTCATAAACTGGGACAAGAACAGAATGCTGCTGCTTCCAGCCTTTGGCTATTCTGACGGAGCAGGTGGATGAGGATGTGATTCCTAGGCTGCTGCAGCCGTTTTGTAACCATGAGGAGACAGACAAGCTGGAGATGGCAGGGCAGAAAGAAGCAAGACCCTGGGTCTCTAAGTCACTGAATTAGCCAGCGCTAGAATGTTCTCACCTTCTGTTATGTAACAATACGTTTTCCTTATTGTTTCACACGCTTCTAGCTGGATTTTCTATTTTGTGGCTCAAAGGATTCTAACCGGTATAATCATTAAGCATATAAAGAATACAAGATATGCTTACCAGTTCAACTCAGTCAGTTTTGAGACTTAGACTCTGTAGACTTTAACTTATGATCATAGAATTATGAGTGTCAAAACCCAAGAGTACCTTCACAAGCAAGAGTCCACTCTCAATACAGATTACCGTCAGTGGCTCTGGGTTTTCCATTCTCTGGCCTCACTTGTGTGGCATGCCAACAGCTTCTGTATCAACTTTCTTCCAGCCTATTTTTAAATCCAAACGAGCTAAGAATGTTGACTCCCGTGTGAAGGGCAATTATTTTAATAGTTCAACCTGTGCTTGCTGCGTTCCTCAGCCTCGCATTCAGAAACCCCATCACATTTTCTGTGTTAATCACTGCAGATTCATTCTTTGAATCCTTGAGGTGTCCTAGAAACTACAGAAGGGCCTGACAGTTCTTTCTTCTTCTCGCTCCTCTTGCCCTAATCACATACTCCACTGCCTCGGGGGAGTGGGGCACTGGGGCACGGGCTAGCCCCTGTGATGGGGACACTCAGGGTGTAAGGTGACAGCAGCTTGGCCCGAGCCCATCTGGAGGGATGTGGTACATGAGAAAAATCGGACCCATCTTGAGGAGACATCACTACCATTTGCACAAAGTTGTCATGTAGTTAATATGCAAATCTATGATAACTATGGATGCGAATGGAGCCCCACAGTGACCCTGGGTGACAGAGAAAGGATGAAGCACCTCACCAGACATTTAGGAGCACTACCGGAATGCTGTAAGGTGACTAGACAACCTTTGAAATAGTGTTTTGTTAGCAACCAAGAGTCCTTTATACATACACTTTTTGATTACACTAGAAAATGTACAGCTATATCTTTGGATTGGACAGTTGGCACAGCCTTAGTGTGGGCCAAGTCATTTAATCTTTCTCAGCTTTGCCTTTTATACATTGAGATCATAATGTCACTGTAAGAATTAAGTAAGGTCATGTGAAAGCACTTGTTAATCTATAAACGGCCCTACAAGTGTTAATTATTATTGGCATCATTATCAAATTCTTCTTAATGCTTTATAATGTCTGCACCAGAGAACATCGCCGTAGGAAAGGACAAGTAGCATTTTATCAGAGAAGCCTCCTCTCTGGGTTAATCACCCCTCACCCTGGTGTGTGAACTGCAGCGTGGAGAGGAACCAAGTTCCCACAGTGCTGCTTTGGGACTTCACTACCCCTGGCCTCCAGCAGAGGCCGCTCTCGGGCTGCAGGCTGCTGGATTGGGTGGCCATCACTGCTCTCCACTGTCAGGAAAACTGGGGATGGGAAGCCTCCTACACACACACACACACACACACACGCACGCACACACACACACACACACACACACACACGCGCGCGCGCTTTCATACCAGTCCCCCAGTCTCCCTCCCACCAAGGTGGGCCCTATTCCCAAAGAGAGAAACACATTCCTGGCATTCTGAGCTGGAATTCTTAGAGAGAGGAGTGGTTTTTCTATTTCCAGGGCTGATATGGAGTTACCCAGGCACTGACTCTCAACCACCCTGAGTAAGTGTTGGCTGCTATTTAATAGAAATGTGAAAAGGGGCTGAGAATATTTTAGATGAATGTAATGAGATACTGAAAAAAGAGATGTTTGTTGATGTAAATGCTACCTCTATTCTTGTTAAACGGTTCCACACTCTGAAAAGCAAATTCAGAACAGCAGATATAACATCATTCTACTTTATAACGTGGGAAAGGAGAGAGGGCGAGGCTCTAGAAAGTTACACGTTGAACTGTTAAGTAGGGGGAGTGAATTCTGGATAAGAAAAGGAGGACAAAAAGGGGAATTCTGACCTTTTGTTCCATACATGCCCTTAGAGTTTGCATTGTTTACAACAAATATGCGTTGTAGTCACGTAGTACTTTTTTGCAGTAACTACAATCTCTTATTTTCATTGGGATATTGGCTTGATATTTAAAACCACTTAATTTTTAGAAAATTGTATTTTCTAAGTCTCATAATATTAAGGAACTTTTTAAAACATGTGAAATACAACAAAATACAAAGGAGTATATGAAAAAATATATATCTTTGGAGTACTAAATCATCACTGAATTTAACACCCAGGCTGAAAAACAGAACCTTACCACATCCCGGAAGCCCTCAGGTGTCTCCCATGCATGCCCTTCCCTCTCCAAGAGGGAAACTTTCTAGAGAATTTGCTGCTCATGAGGTTCTGCATGCTTTTAGTTTATATAAAGGGAATCCTATGTAATCTTTTGAGATTTGCATCTTTTGTTCAATAGTATGTCTTTGGGATTTATCTGTGCATAATTTTAATCATGATTTTCCTTGAGTGAACACACCAGGACTGATTCATTCTATGTTGGTGGGCGGTTGGCTGTGTCTGAGTTTTGCTGTGAAGCCCAGTTATGCTCTAACACAGGGCGTGTATGTCTCCTGGTGCACACACACGAGTGTTTACCTGGGCTCTGTCCTCAGGACTGGAGACCTGGTGCTCCACAGCCTTGCCAATACTTGGATTGCATGGCTTTCTAATTTTGGCTAATTGGTATTTTTAAAAACTATTACATTAATGATGATGGACATCTTTTGTATATTTATGGGTGTCATATATGTCCTCTTTGGTGCTTTTCTACTACAGTTCCTTTGCCCATTTTACCTTGGATGTTGTCTTTTCTGACTGACTTATAGGAGTCTTTATTGGTTTGGATTATTAACTGTGCTGCAAATATCTATTTTCAGTTTGTGGTTTATCTTTTTATTCTCTTTATGGGATCTTTTAATGAATACACCTTCTGAATTTTAATGTAGCTGGATTTATCCATCTTTTCCTTTGTGCCTTTTTTCATATTTTGTTTCAGAAATTGTGAATCCTCCGGTGGTAGGTAGGATAATGGCCCTGAGGGGTTTGTTTAATGTAAAAGCCTGTGGATTTGTTATGTTTCATGGCAAAGGGGAATTAAGATTGCTAATCAACTGACCCTAAAATAGGGAGACTATCTTGCATTAGCTGGGTGAGCCTAATTTAATCACCGGGGTCCTTCAAGTAAAGGGGGTTCAGGGGGAGATTACAGCAGAATGGGTTGAAAGTTTTGGGAACTTTCAGAGAGATGGAACATAGCTGCCTTCAGAGATGGAGAAAGGGGGTCATGAATGTGGGCCGCCTCTGGAAGCTGGAAAAGAAAATGGCTTCCCTCGGAGCCTCCAGGAAGGAAGACGGCCCTGCCAACACCCTGATGGCAGCCCAGTGAGACCCATGTTGGGCTCCTAACTACAGAACAGTAAGTGTGTGCTGTGTGAAGCCACCAAGTATGTGGCCATGTGTTACCGCCACAAAAGACAAGGAATTCACCAATGTACCCTATTTTAGCTTATTAAAGGACAACTGATTCTTCCATTGAACCCACATCAGCTCTTCTGTCCTTCCACCCACTCGTGTTCCCTGTGTGTCCAGTTCAGAAGCTCTTAGCTTGGACTGTACATGAGCATCGCCTAGGCAGCGTTTAAAAATACTGGTGCCCAAAACAACAACACCTTGATGTCTGGGCTCCACACCAGACCAAATAATCACAATTTCTGGAAGTAGAAACCGGCCATTAGTATTTTGCAATACCATCCCATCCCTTCATCTATCTTTTTTTTTTTTTTTTTTGGAGGGGTGGGGGGAAGAGGTTGGTGAATCTAGTTTAAGTTAACTTGCAGACTTGAATAAACTTCCCCCTCAAATGATATGTTTTCTTAAAGCTCCCCAGGCAATTCTAATGCAGCCAGGGTTGAGACCCACCAGACTAGATCCAGTGTAATCTCCCTTTACTGGGGCAGCCCTTCAACTACAGCCACTCGCCTACCCACCCTGACCTTCCTGCTCGGGTTCTGCACTACCCACGTGGATGCTCTGGTGTCAGGTGGAAAGAATACCCGCCACCCCTCCAGCCCAGGAGGGCTGCAGGGCAGCGGCAACATCCGATTCCTGCTTTACGTCTCCCTACTGTGCTCTGCAGCGGATCAGTGAACACTAAAACATCATTTCACTTCGTCAGCCAGGTAGAGTTAAATTACACGTAAGGACAGCCTCGTGTTTAGGAAAGCAAATAAATGTTAACTTGGTTCAGTGACAATATTGAGATGGATTAGAAAACTGGA